AACAACTGGAAAAGCTGACACAATATGAGGATTTAAAGAACTGCAAAGACTCTTGCACAAGCCAGTAAAATTGGTCCCAGTGGTGATCGGCACACTGGGTGTAGTGCCTAATGACCTTGGTCTGCACTTAAGCACAGTCGGCATTGACAAAATTACCATCTGCCAGCTGGGATCTGCACACATTATTCGCTGATACATCACACAGTCCTAGACACTTGGGAAGTGTCTGATATGTGATCCAATACAATGGCCAGCAGAGTGATCTTGTCTGCTGTGGACTCATCTTGTTGTGTTTCTAATTATTATTATTATTATTATTATTATTATTATTATTATTATTATTATTATTACCCCACTTTATCTCTCTTGATAATGACCTTGTGGAACAAGTTGCTTCAGGAAAGCATTATATTTTCTCTTAGCCACAGGAGGTATGGGTAAAAATCTCTGTATTCACCACTGCTTGTGGTAGCAAAATCAGCTTAGTGTTGTGACATCATAAACAAGTCATATTTGGTATACATTTTCAAGGAATCTGATCCACTTAAATACTTACAGCTATGGTGAATGCTAACTGCTAAAACCTTGTGCCAAAACAAAAAAAAATCTTTAAAGTACTATAAGAATCTTTGTTATTGCTTTTTGCCATTTTCAAAGCCTCCCAGTGCATGCAGCCATTCTTCTTAGTTTTGCAATTCCAGAAAAATTTATGTTTGCAGAGCAAGACCCAAAGTGCAAAACCTTCTACTAATTTCACCTGTGAAAATGTATTAACACATACTTTTTGTGAAGATTTTTGTTCACACAAACATGTTCCACTTGGCTTGTGGTCCAAATGCATTTTGCCCATTTTTGAGAGGCTAGAAATTGTAACTAGAGCATCTAATTGAATTGACACATAACTATTTTAAATTGTGTGTTTTGACTGAAACATGATAATTTTTATGGAGATGCCTATTACCATATGGAAACTTTCCCCTCTTTTCTTATCCTTGATAAACTTATTAATTTGTGGTGAACATCAGCGTATAGACTGTCCAGTTGTTCTGCAAATGCATTATCTTTACAATCACCATAACAATGGTAGACATGGTGGAAGAAAAACTTCCATTTTTCAAGGCAGAAGGAAATATATTCTGAATGCTCAAACTGTGTTAATCTGCAGCAAAAAAAATGCTGCCTTGAAGGAAGACAGCTGGAGTAAAACCACATAATTATTGTGTAGAAAAGCAGTTGTATTGAAAAATTTCATGCATTACAAAACAGTTACAACATAATTAGGATTATATGTATCCATGTGCCACTCGATTGTGCAGCTGCCCAGTTAAAAAGACCACTCTATATTTTAATAACCTGGTGCTGCCATATGTAAACAGGCCAACTCTATTCATTTTGTCCTAACACATACTATAAAATGTACCAGTAATATTTCCCAAGTTGGTTGGGCATCTTTGTTTGTGTGACTTGTTTTTATTAATGCCATCAAGATGGCTTTTGACTTATGGCAATCCTATGGATGAGAGACCTATAAATCACTCTGCCATTAACAACCCTGCTCAGATTCCACAAATTCGGGGTCATAGCTTCCTTGATTTGAGTCTTTTAATTATATTATATATTATATTATAATTATAATTATATTATATTAACTTTCCCCTGCCACGCGTTGCTGTGGCCCAGTCTGGTGATCTGGAAAATAAAGTAATGAGAAAGTGCTGGTTTCTAATATATGTTATTTCTTTATGTTTGTTGGTAAACAGTATTTCTTGTTGTTTCTTTGGTAGTGTTGATATAGAGATTGTCTGGTTTGTCTTCTCTGGAACATGCAACATATCATTGTCCTTTTTAGGGGTCCTTTTCAAATTTATGATACTATATCTTTGCGTGTGTGAGTGATATATATCTATCTATATCTATGGCTGGATGGCTCTTTGTCAGGGGGGCTTTGATTACGTTTTCTTGCCCTGGTGAAGGGAGTTGGACTGGATGGCCTTAAGTATTTTCTGTTAGTCATGAGGGTTCTGTGTGGGAAGTTTACCCCAATTCTTTCGTTGTTGGGGTTCAGAATGCTCTTTGATTGTAGGTGAACTATAAATTCCAGTAACTACAACTCCCAAAAGTCAAGGTCCCTCAAACTCCATCTGTGTTCATATTTGGGTATATGAAATATTCATGCCAAGTTTGGTCCAGATCCATCATTATTTGAGTCCACAGTGCTCTCTATATATAGGTGAACTACAACTCCCAAACTCAAGGTCAATGCCCACCATACCCTTCCAGAATTTTCTGTTGGTTGTGAGAGTCCTATGTGCCAATTCCATCATTGGTAGGCTTCAAAATTCTCTTTGTAGGTGAAATCAGCAGCTACAACTCCCAAATGACAAAATGAGTTTTTGAGTGATGGTCACTCCTTGGATTAGTAGGTGTATTGTGTCCAAATTTGGTGTCAATTGGTCCAGTGGTTTTTGAATTATGTTAATCCCACAAACGAACATTACATTTGTATTTATATAGATTACATTACATTATATTACATTATATTACATTACATTACATTATATTAATCTCAGGTATGGGCAAACCTTTTGACCAACATAAACTTAATAATATTTCAGTGGAAGACCCCAGGGGCCATCCAGTCCAACTTCCTTTTGCCATGCAGGAAAAGTACAATCAAAGCACCCCCTGAGTGGTGCGAGGGAAATAAGGTTTTGGAAGCAAGGAAGGCGAGGGTAAAAGAATCTAGGTGGCAAGGACAATGAGGGAAAATAAGGCTTTATGGGCAAGGGAGACAAGGGAAAAAAGCTTTGGGGGAAAAGTGGGGAGGAAAAAAGGCTTTTGGGGCAAAGGAAGGGAGAAAAAGGCTTTTGTGGGAAAGAGGGTGGGGGAAAAGACATTTGGCAGCAAGGGGGGCAAGGGAAAAAGGCTTTTGTGGACAAGAGAGGCAGGGGACGAGGGAGGAGCAGGAAAGAGGAGAGAAAGCTTGGAAAGGGAGAGGAGGAGGGGGGACGTGCAGAGCCCTCCAGCATGCTTCACAGAGCCCCAAGGACTCCACGGAGCACACTTTGAGAACCAGTCAACTTGTTTCATGTTAGTTTCATATATCTTCAGATGCATCTAGTCTGTCTTACATGAATATCCTCCCCTCCAAAAAAATTTACAGACTGGTTTTAAATGGTGTTTATATTTACATTGTTTTTAGAGAGCAAATAGCTCTTAAATTGTTATTTTAATTGTATGAAGTCATAATTGTTTATTGCTGTTTATGGTCTATTGCTATATATTTTTTGTATCTGTTGATTGTTGTAAGCCTCCCCAAATCACTTCGGGGGGATGGGGGTGAGGTATAAATAAAGATTATTATTATTTGAAACACAACAAGATGAGTCCACAGCAGACACTCTGCTGACTGTTGAATTGGATCACACGTCGGACACTTCCCAAGTGTCTAGGACTGTGTGATGTATCGGCGAATAATGTGTGCAGATCCCAGTAAGGTGGCCTTCTGCAGCTGGCAGATGGTAATTTTGTCAGTGCCGATTGTGTTTAAGTGCAGGCCAAGGTCTTTAGGCACTGCACCCAGTGTGCCGATCACCACTGGGACCACCTTTACTGGTTTGTGCCAGAGTCTTTGCAGTTCGATTTTTAAATCCTCATATCGTGTCAGCTTTTCCAGTTGTTTCTCTGCAATCCTGCTGTCACCTGGGATTGCGACATCAATGATCCATACTTTGTTTTTTAATACGATTGTGAGGTCAGGAGTATTATACTCCAAAACTCTGTCTGTCTGAATCTGGAAGTCCCAAAGGAGTTTGGTGTGTTCATCCTCTGTAACTTTTCCCTTGTGATCCCACCAGTTCTTTGTCGCAAGCAGATGGTATTTGTGGCACAAGTTCCAATGAATCATCTGAGCAACAGTGTTGTGCCTCTGCTTGTAGTCTGTCTGCGCAATCTTCTTGCAGCAACTCAGGATGTGATCCATCGTTTCATCTGCTTCCTTGCAGAGTCTACATTTGGGATCTGTTGTCGACTTTTCAATTCTGGCTTTGGTGGCATTGGTTCTAATGGCTTGTTATTATTAGTAGTAGTATTAGTATTTGTATTTGTATTTGTTTTCCTCCCTAAATAAGCATTTGCTACACTTTCTTGAGCAAAAATACCCCATCCCAAAATTCAGACAAACACAATCTGAAGGCAAACTGCTTTGTATCCACTATTAGTTTATAAAGTGCAGATAAGATTTAAAATGCCAACTGAATAAAATTATCTTTTTTTCCTACCCAAAAGTGATCTTTCACATTCGAATAATAGATGCCGCCAATATTTATCACAATCTATTTTATAAGATCATATTATTTTCTTTTTACATCCCAAGCAAAGCATTTTCTTTTCAAGCGAAACCCTGTTGGAGGGAGACCTGAATGAAGTATTGTCAACAGGGAAGTTAGTGAGTTCTTGGAAACATTAGAAGTAGTCAGTATGGTATTTTTCAATTGAGTTATTTGCTTTTTGCAGGAATTCTATATGTATCATTGCATGAAAAGTGGTAATTTCAGGTATGAAATGGATTATTCACAGTCCCATCTGTATTTTTCCAACTGCAAGAGAAGAAAATGAGATAAATGTGATAGGCTCTTGCCATTACATTATATTACATGTATTTGTCTTGATTCTGAAATCATCTGCAGCGGTGTCAAATCTTAGCTTAGCTTGTTGGGGAAATAGCAAATCCTAAAGAGATTCTCTTTTATTGCTCAATCCGAACCTCTCAGTCATAAAGATGTGGGAAAGACAAAGCTAGCTGCTTCTTTTTCTTCTGTTGCCATTGGGAATATAGAGTGTCTGGAAACAGTTCAATAATTTATAATTGTCTTGTCTGTAGCTGTAAAATTAAAGTAATGATTTTTTTATAGAGATGAAGAATGTCAGCAATACTTATTTAAATGGATGAATTCCACATAAGCACCTGTTTTATTTAGTTTTGTTTTTAAACTTTATAGGAAATCAATGTGTTGACGGTACCTTCGGTCAACCAAGACAGAGAAAAAAATTCTGAGAAGCGAAGTCAGCCATTAAAATCAGAGAAAGAGGCGCTGTTGATAGGTAAGGCAACTTCCTGTGCTACTGTACCAATCATAACATCGCCTGTGGCAAACTCAAGGTAGTTGAAATAGCTTTGAAATATCTTTGCGATTTCAGAGTACTATACCACAGCCAGACCAATTTTTAATTATCAGATATGGTTGGCTATAGTCAATGCCATGGCCAATGTTGTGTCTTACCTCTGCAGTACTGGCCATGATTTAAAGAATATCAGATTAGTGAAACTTGTGTACTATATGAAATGATCACAAATGTGGCCTTCAGATGCTATCACCTCTTTCACACAATATAAGTTTCAGAATTTTGGATGTACTCACGAGAGCATCATTTCAAGTTTTGGTGGGCAAAGGCACATCATAAACTTCTCTTGGGATATGTTTCACATTTAATTGTAGGCAGGCCCGTAGCCAGGATTTTGATTCAGGGGGTTCTGAGTTTGATTGGGGGGGGGGGGCTGAGGATCTACCCTAGCAAACCTTTTATATTATTATCCCAATAGCCCCATGCATATGGGATATGTCTAGCATGGTGATCAGATCATGACATGAATAAACATAACAGTTTAAATAATGTACCAGTAAGGCCTTCTCGTGGACCACCCTGAGAATTTGGGGAGGGGGGGCTGAAGCCTCTCAAGCCCCCTCCCCCTGCTACATGCCTGATTGTAGGAGTTGCATTTGAGTTCAACTACTTTTTAGTACATCAAAATCATATATACCTAAATATAGTCTCCTGAGAAGTGATAATGTCCCATAAAATAGGTCAATAACAACCACATTCTCATTGTTACTTTTGGACCATTTCCAAACTATTTGATGGAAGATTGCTATAGAGGCCATGCTACCTAACAATTATATGAATTCCTATTTCAATTACGAAAGTAAGACATGGATTTGCATATTCTAAGAAATGGACACTTGCTGTTTATGGTGTCTCAAATGGCCACATGTGTTTATACACACATTATTATAACTTAAAAACAGAAAACATCCCTCACCTCTAGTTATAATAGGGCCAATCCAGACAAGCCTTTAAACCAAGACCTGTCTTGGTTTTACCGTAGTTGTCCAAACAACACCTCTGGTAAAACAGAATTAATTTGGATCAAACCAGGGTTTCTTTGGTTTGATCCAAATTAATTAGATACCCCCATTAGATCTGGGCCTTCCTGAAAGACCTAGGTC